AATTATAATAAGAATTTCCATCCATATGGCCATATATATAAGTCCAATATGCAAAATTTGACATTTTTCCGGCACAGAAGCAACCAACAGAAAATGCAATTTTAAAAGGTGTTCGTTACGATGACACTGAAAATAATAAGGTATCAAGGAATAAATCTGATGAGAAAATGTGCATGACCTTTCTGGGGGGAAATTATAAAACTTTATTGAAAGACATAAAGAGGAACTATAACACGTTAATGGGTAGGAAGACTGAATATTACAAAGATGTCAATTCTCCCCAAATTCCTCTATAAATTGAACGGAATTCTAATTAGAATCCTGACATAGTTCTTCTCGGAACTTGACAAGCTTATTCTCAAATTTATACGAAAGAGCAAATGGTCAGGGATAACCATTTTGAAAAAGTTCAAGAGAGGAGAATTTTTACCCTGCCAGATATAGAGAGACCTGGCATAGGATTTCGGTAATTTAGGCAGCGTTGTGCTGGCTTCAGGGAAGAGCCGACTCACACCCGGGCAGACACCTGCCAGGAGACAGGTGGGCGGGCTCACTGGGGAAAGGCAGGGGGGGCGCCTCAGCGCTTTGTGCCAGAGCAGTCTCAGATGGAAACGACAAAATTAACTCGGTATCTCCCCATATCCTAAAATCCACCCCAAGTGTGTAAAGCTTTGAACATGAAAAGCAAAACTTTAAAAGCTTTATTATTTTTTTAAAGATATTATTTATTTGAGAGAGAGAGAGAGAGAGAGAGGACGAGGGGGGAGGGGCAGAGGGAGAAGCAGATTTCCCGCTGAGCAGGGAGCCTGATGCGGGGCTAGATCCTTGGACCCTGGGATCATGACCTGAACCGAAGGCAGACGCCTAATGACTGAGCCACCTGGGCGCCCCAAAACTTAAAAAGTTTTAGAAGAAAACATAGGAGAACATCTTTATGAAATGGGGGGTGTAGGGAAGGATTTCTTATGACTTACTCCAATAGCAACATCACCAGGGAAGAAGTTTACATGAAGCTACATTCCAATTAAAAGTCACAACTGATGAGAAGACACCCCAAAGACTGGAAAAAAGATATGTAATGCATTTAGCAATTTAAGTTGGGAAATCAGAGTATACAAAGAACTTCCTCAAATAAATATAAAAGTATAGAAGAATGGACCAAAAAAATATGAAGAGGTAATTTAGGGAAGAGGAAACACACACATCCAATAAATACTTGCAAAAATGCTCGATGGCACCAGAAGTAAGTGAATATAAATTAAAACCACAGTGAGATGGGCCCGTGGGTGGCTCAGTTGGTTAAGCGTCTGCCTTTGGCTCAGGTCATGATCCCGGGGTCCTGGGGTCGAGCCCCGTGTCGGGCTCCCTGCTCAGTGGGGAGTCTGCCTCTCCCCCTCCCTCTGTCTGCTGTTCTCCCTGCTTGTGCTCTCTCTCTGTCAAATAAATTAATAAATAAAATCTTTAAAAATAAATAAATAGATAAATAAAAAATCTAAAAAAGTCCCCCAGAACCCCACAATGAGATGCCGGTTCACATCCATGAGGTTGACTGAAGTATAAAGCCTACAAGGCCAAGTGTGGGCGAGGATGTGGACCCTGAGCGCCCCTGAAACATGACTCCTCACTCTATTGAAAGCCAAGATGTACATGGCCTCCAGTTCTGGGGCTCCATTTCTAGAGAGACCTCACCCACCACCTCCGGGAGTCCACATGCATCATAGTGGAGCTGTTTGTAAAGCCAGCTTTGCAAAGCTCACACAGATCCATTCACAGGAGACTGGATAAATACATTCTGATACATTCATATCATGGAAGATTACATCCCAGCAAAAATAATCAAACCAGAAGTAGAAGTTTAAACATTTATCAGCACATTACTGGGTGGAGGCCGTGCCTCCCAAATCCTCAGGCTTGTGGTGAGGAGGAGGGAATGCCCTGATCTGCATGGCCTCAGAATAAGAACGAGGACCTCTGTGAGGACCATCTAGGGAGGTGGACTGGGGCTGAAATGAACAAGGGTTTTGTAACAGGCCCAGGTGCCTGAGGATGGAAGAGACTGTCTCCTAAGGAAATGAGCTCCCCGTCACTGGAGGTATGTGAGCAGAGGCTGGGCGGCTGCTCTGTGGAACCAAGCGCTGGATACCAGTGGTGCAAGGGCGGGGCTGGGTAAATATGGCCTTTGGTGAGCTCTGCATGCATGCCCAGAGGCCCCGTGGTTCTGTGATTCAGTGTGGTTAAAAGAGGACAGGACTGAATGAATAACCAAAGTGTGACACATCCCCGTGCCGGAACCTGCCCGTTGGCGCGAGGGGACGGGCCCGGCTCCATGCAGCAGCATGGATGCGTCTCCAAAACATGCTGCATGAAAGAAGCCTTCTGCAAAAGGTCCCATACTGGGTGATTCCATTTCTGTGAAATTCTAGAAAATGTGAAGTAATGTAGAACGACAGAAAGCACATCAGAGCTTATGTGTGCGGTGAGGGGAGGGAAGGAGCTTTCCGCAGTGATGGAAATGTTCTGTAAGGTTCTGTATCTTGATCGTGGCGAGGGGTTCATGGGTGTACAATGGATGGAATCGTACACTTTAAATGGATCCATTTATTGTATGCAAACTATATCTCAATATGGACACTTAAAAAAGAAAGAAAAAGATCAGGTGGAGAGGATTGGCAAGGAGGCCTCGGCTGCTGCATCTTCGCCTTGGTCACAAGGACTGGGCCTCAGTTTCCCCATCTGTGAAAGGAGGGAGAACCTGTAAGGAGAACCCACATTTATTTCCAGTGTAGTGGCCACAAGTGTGTCCTCCTGGGCAAGTCAGGGAGCCTCTCTGTGCCTTGGTTTCCTCCTCTGTAAAGTGGGGGAACAACAGAGCCCCCTCCAGGCATGCGCTCAGAGCCACGAATGTCACGCTGGATGTCACAGTCGCGGCTACGGTCCTTCTAGTCCTGCGTCCACCTGGATGCTGCTGTCTGGGCTGCTCACTTCCCATCTTGCTCCTCTGCCAACCTTGGCCTTGTCCACACAGCCTGCGGGCCGCCTGCAGATCGGGACATCCCAAGAGAGGGGTTTCAGGGCACCTGGGTCACTCTCAGCGCAGAGCACAGGTTCTTCGGGGCCAGCTTTCTAATCTGGGTTTTGTGTCCCCTGAAGTATCAAGCCCAATGCTAGGTATTCAAGTGATGTATCCTTGAATGCATGCAGGAGGGAGTCTGATGGCCCTAAGTCAGGGAGGATTTTGCTTGGGTTGTCTTGGAGAAGTGGCTTTCTCGGCCTGGAGGGCCACCAGGGCCCTGTATGGTTGGGCAGGCTGTTCACTGCAAAAGGAAGCCCCGCCCTAGAGAGGTGAACGGGGGATAAAACCCATACATATACCCCTTTCGAAGTCATACCGTGTCTTCCCAAAGAAGTGCATTATTCTTTCTTTCCTTTTTAAAAAAATAAACATTTTCTTCTGGAACAATTTTAGATTTACAGAAAAGTCACAAAGATAGTAAGAGAACTCTCCTATATCCTTCACCCAGTTTTCCCTTACATCAACATCGCTTACATAACCACGGGACACTTGTCAAAACTAAGAAATTAACATTGGGACAATACTGTCAACTCAATTTCAGACTTGATTTGGATTTTACCACTTTCCCCACTGATGTTCTTTTTCTGTTCCAGGATCCAATCCAGGATATCACATTGTATTTAGGTTTTGTTGTTGTTGTTTAGATCAACAGGGGTTGCCCTAGGGGCTAGCAGTGGATGGGAAAAAGAAGGTGGGTACAGGGGAGCACCCAGAATAAAGTCCTTAGGGGGTTTGTGAGGGAGAAAGCCCAGGGTGGGTCATGGGGGGGGCCACTGGCCTTCCTGACCGGGTCTGAGCACCGTGAAGTGTTTCTCATCATCTCAGCTCAGCTTATGCAAAGGACAGAGGAAAGATATCAAAGTTTGTTGGCTGGTTTTAATTATTGACTGGCCACATATTGGAGCTGGCCACTGTCTTGTGGTTTCCTGGTTCGTCCTAAGTGACAGTCCAGGCTGGGTGACCAGTGGCTCAGCTTATTTCTTCCCTTGGGTGTGGGGAGCAGTAGCAAAATGAACGGTAAGAGCCAGGTGAACTCGGAGGCCACGGGGAGACGCCGTGCTGCTCAGATCCCAAGTTGACTCATGGCTAAGGGGGAGCACTCACCCTCCCCACGAGCTGCAGAACTCCGGCTTTGTCCCCTCAGCAGCTGAGGTGCCAGAAGAACTTGGAGTCACCCGGCCCTGGGCTTGATTTCAGGCCGGGTGGTCCTAGTGGGTCAGCTGCCTTCTCAGACCCTCCCATTTGCCCATCGTTAAAATGCACCACGGAGCCTCGTTCCAGGGCGCCTGGTCCCCCAAGGCTGCCTTGAGCACAGGACTGGCTCATGTGGAGCACTGCCCATCATTTCCCTTTAATTTCCTCTTCTCCCTCAGCGGGGCCCCCGCCCCCTTCCTGCCCCCCTGGCCCCCTGCATCTCCCGTCCTTCCACACTCCGGGATCCCCATGCTCGCACCTGCTTGGGGGAGCCTTGTGTGTTGCTCGCGCAATCCCCTCACCGGGAGAGTCCTCTCTCTGGCGAGCTTCCGAGTGCTGGCTCAAATGCTCACAGGCCCCAGCTCTCCCTCCATGTAGCTCTGAGGTCTCCTCCCTGGAGATCCCCCCTGACACGTGTCAGGTCGCATCTTCCCCAGGGATCAGCTGTGCCTTTTGCACCTTGGACTCACCAGCACCTGACACTGTGCCCGGCACACAGTAGGCACTCATTAAATGCTTAACACTTAGAATTGAGATGAACTGGGTTCCTGGAAGCCTGACGTCTTTGGAGAACAACCCTGGCCCTCCCCCATGGGCAAGACGTGAGGCCCCAGCCGGCAGGGTACCCCGGTCTCCTGCGGGTGCCCCAGCCCAGCACCTGAGGGGCCCCGAGCTGTTCTGCCAGACCGCATGCTCCGCCTTCTGCAAACGGCTGTTGGGGCAGCAGCTTGGGTAAGTTCCCCTTCCGCTTCCTCCTACCTCTTGTCCTACTGTTGCTGCTCCTCTGCCGAGGCACCTCGCCTCTCCAAACCCCTGGAGCCTGCAGAAGCCCTCTCTGCCCTGAGCTGTCACCAACACTGCCTCCCAGGCCCCGGACGCCATGCAGGCCATCAAGTGTGTGGTGGTGGGAGATGGGTAGGTACCTGGCTGAACTTCCTCCCCTGGCTGAAGCTCTCTACTGGGGTATCCCTGACACCCGCCTGCCCTGCAAGATGTAGGAGTCCCTGGGAGGCAGCGGGAGGAGCTGCTCCCTTCTTGTCCCGGGGCCCACAGACGGCCCCCGAGGTGGGCAGAGGACAGCTTCACCCTCTTTGCCTACTTTACTCCGGAAGCTGCCCGGGTGGCGGTGGGTGGAGGTGCCTGGGGTCCCTCCCCTGCACCCTGAAAGCTGGAGCAGGTCTCTCATGGGACGTGTCTTCAGCTCTGTGGATGCAGGGGCAGGGGTGGAGAACCAAGAATCTGGCCTTTGTCCTCCGGCTGACCCGGGCTCTAGTCACTGGCTCGCACTGCTGTGTGACCTTGGGCAAGCCACAGAGCCTCTCTGAAGCTCAGTTCATCCATCTGGGAAGAGGCCACGCCCCCAGGATTGATGTGGGGTCACCTGACATAGTTTGAGTGGCTGTCCTGTGCATAGTGTGCTCAATAAATATCAACCTCCTCCCCCTCCACCTTCCCTGACTCTCCCCTCCCCCCTCAGCCTGCCTGGTTGGGGAGGATGTGTGGGTGATGTGGGTGATGAGCAGAAGGGGGAGGGGGACATGAAGGGAAGTTGGAGGGAAGAAGGCATGGGAGGGTGATTGGGAGGGTCAGTGTGGGCTAGGCTGGGCTGAGGGGCTTTCTCAGCTGCGGGATCTCAGGGACCTCGGGTTGTCATGTCCCCGTGGGCCTCAGTGACCTCAGGTTGTCATGTCCCCGCGGGCCTCTTTCTAATGAGGTCTAAGATGCCGATCTCTGGAGCCAGCCAGCAGATGTCTCAGGGTCCAGCCCACAGGTGCATCCTGGCATTTCCTGTGAGTCCAACCCAGTAAACCCCAGCATTTCTAGCTGGGCAGGCCTCCGTTCCAACTCTCCCATTCTACAGAGGGGCAGCCTGAGGTTGGAGAGACTCAGATCTTTCCTGGCCTGGGTCACAGTGGCCCTGACATGACAGACCGACTTTGGCTCTGATAGATCTCATGGGAGCAGGTCCATTTATCAGCCCTCAGCTGATTCCGACACACTGGCCTGGCCTCATCTGCCCGCCTGCCCAGCCCTGCTCACTTCCGCTCTGTGTTTGATCTGAGGAGGGGAGGGCAGGAGCCAACGTTCCAGTCATTCAGTCACCTTGGTGGCAAGCTCTGGGGAGGGCAGGGGGGGAAGAAGGTGGCCGGCCTCCTGAGAACAGGAAGTGACAATGCAGGAGTGGGGCTGGAGGGCCCAGGGCTGCCCCTTTGGCTGCTAGCCTTCCCACTGCACCACCCGCGCCCCCGCGCAGCCCAGCCGACCCGCAGGCCAGGCCAGGGGAGGACAGCGCGTGTCATGGCAGTTACTATCGCTTGCTGTGTCAGGCACTGGACTCAGTCACGCCCCCTCTATTTGGTCTTCCCACCAATCTAAAACTAGGCCCATTTTACAGGTGGGAAAACTGAGGCTTGGAGAAGTTAAGTAATTTGCCCAAGACCTCATGGGATATGAGGCCGGGTCTCTCTGACCTCAAAACTCCATGCTCTTAACTGCTGTTCTCTCTGGTGAGGGGGGAGGGAAAGAGGAGGGAGGGACAGGCTTCCCCTAGTGTTGACTACTAGCCGCTAAGCTCTGCCAGACACGGTGCTGGCTGCTTCTATGGGCTTCCTCTGATTTACTACTCAGCACACTCCTAGGAGGAGGAACGCCTCGGATCCCTATGTTCTAGATGGGGAAACGGAGGCCTAGGGAGGCTAAGTGCCTTGCCCAAGGCTGGGCCACTGGTAGGTGGTGGAGCTGGTATCTGGAGCCCAGGCGTGTGACGGCAGAGGCCTGGTTAGGCCCCTGGGTATTGTCTGGTTCAGCGGGCTCCTGGGCTCTTAACCCTATGTCCCACACTGGTGTCACCTGGGGAAGCTTGTTACAAATACAGATTCCCAGTTCTGCCCTGCACCCACGGATCAGAATCTCTAAGGGAGGACCCTGAAGTCTGCCCTTTAACAAACACCCCTGATGACTCTTATGACTCAGTTTTGGGACCACTGATACTGGCATTCTCAGGTGGGGAGACTGAGACCCAGAGAGGTGGGCCTGGGTCTTCCCTGAGGGCTGGGCTAGGGGACCCAGAAACCTCCCAGTGTCTCGGGCAGGGCCCATGACCGCTGTCCTCTTGAACCTCCTGTCTTTCAGAGCCGTGGGCAAGACCTGCCTTCTTATCAGCTACACCACCAACGCTTTCCCCGGAGAGTATATCCCCACCGTGTGAGTCCTGCGGGGGCCGGGGCGGGGAGCCGGGAGGATGGGGAGACACGCATCACCAAGCCCACCCCCTTGTCAGGCACTTCCTGTGTGCCGGGCCCTGTGTGGGCCCCTGGGGGGTCTCTGCCTGGCAGAGCTGCCTGACGACCCCATCGGGAGGCAGTAAGCAAGGTTGAGCTGGGCAGTGACGACCAGTGCCCAGGCCCCCAGAGCGGGAGAAACTGGGCAGATGGGGCAGGACGAGCGGCCTCCCAGCTGGGCCTCGGCAGGAGAAGCGGAGGGAGGGTGGGCTGTGGAGGAAAAGGAGGCAGTCGCGGGCCTTGACACCAGGACACCAGGACAGCGGGCCAGCCGCTGTTAGGGGAGAGGGCAGTGCCATCTGGAGGCCTGTGGGAGGCCCTGCCCTCTTGCGGGTGTGGAGGCAGGGCCGTCGTTCGAGGCCATGTAGGAGTCCGTGGGTGGCAGCCTCGGGACGGAAGGGTACCTGGGGAAGCACCGGCCCTCGGCGGCCCCATCGCTCCTAGGACAGTGTCCCCACCCCCAGCACTGCATTCAAGGCTCCGGGCGGGCTTCTCCCAACCTTCCCTTCCAGCGTCACTGCCCTTACATTGCCTCATGTTCTGTCTGCTTGTCCCCACCAAACACTCCCTGGGCATTTCCACCTCAGGGCCTTTGCTCAAGCCGTTCCCTCTGCCTGGGGTGCTTTTCCTTTGCACGTGTCTAAGACCTCCAAGGCCCGCTCCAGGGCCCCTCCTCCGGGAGCCTTTCTCACCCAGCCCGAGGGACCTCTCACTCCCCAGAGTGACTCTATCTGATCTTTCCCATGACTATGAGTCTCTGGAGGGCAGGGAGCCTCATCCAGTTCCTTTGGGTCACCCCGTGAGCTTAGCACGGTATGTTAGGCACACTATGATCCGTGCATTGTCTTAAACACGCTGGACGTGTTTTGAGTTGACCTGAACTGAACTTCATGGAGAGGCCCTAGGAGGATCCATCGGGGCTACCCTCCATCTACTGAGGGCCTACTGTGTGCTGGCCCCTGCATGAGACATCACACATGTGTGCCCTCACTTGATCCTCATGAGAGGTGGGCATTCCACCCAGGCCGCCCACGGGGGAAGCTGAAGCTCGCGGCTGCCAAGTGGCCTGACCCCCCAGGACACTGACCGGCACCCCGGCCTGGGACGGAGGAAGGCAGGCAGCAAGGACAGGGCAAAGAAACTGGGGTAGGGAGCCTGGAACACCGTTTTTTCGGCCCCATCTTGGCTCCCCAGTCCCCAGGGGGCCTGGGGATGGTGCTCGTCCCTCTCCGCACCTGCCATATTTGCCCCTTGGCCATCAGTCATCAAGTGTTTATCAGGCACCGCCTAATGCTGAAGGAGGGCTGGCTCTAGGCCAGAGGAAAGGCAGCTTCTGCAGAAGGTCATCGTCACCAGCCGTGCACTGGCTGCCTGCCGTCCTGCCTCTGCCTGTCCCAGCTGGGCTGGGGTCCGTTTGCTGAAGGACCTTAGACCAAACACTTCCCCTCTCTGAGCCTCAGTTTCCCCTTTTATAAGGGCAGGGCTGGGCTGGGCAATCCCAGGCTCACTGCCTGGGCTCCTCCCCTGGGCAGGGAGCCGAAAGGCATGTTCTCTGGCGCAAGATGGTGGGAGGAACAGAGACCAGGCTAGACCCAGTTGTTCCCAACAACTTGGAGAACGCTGGCCCCTGGTGGCCCCTGGTGGCCTCAGGACACTGGACACCCTTGCGGGCCAGATAGAATGAACCAGGCAAGGTCTGCCTTCCCAGGACTCTGGGGAGTTGGGACAGACACTAGGGCCATCTTGAAATTCTTGACCTTTGCACAAGGGATCTTCCATTTTCATTTCGCATTGGCCCCTGCAGAGGATGTGCCGGTCCTGCGTGTCACCCTCCTGTGTCATCCAGGACCGAGATGCTCAGCTCTGGACAAGCCCTCCTTCCGGGGCTCCTGCTACAATGCCTGTTACCCCCGTTACAGGGAGGGGGAGATAAGTCACGCTGAGCCCTTGACATTGGAAGGTGGGGGCCGCCGGGCAGAGCGGAGTTGGGGAAAACGGGAGATCTCTGGTACAGAGATAAAAGACGGGGAGAGCAGCTAGGGCTCGGGGCCAGGAGGGTTTGCTGGGGCCGGGGGGGCACATGTGCTGGCTCACAATCAGAGAAGCAGGCGAGCTGAGCTCAGCTCAGGGCCAACCCCCCCATGCCGCACATGGGGAGACTGAAGCCCACTGTGTGGGTGGCCTTGTGCGGGCCGTTGGGGACACCAAAACAAGGCAGGAGCACCCTGCACTTGCGTGCCTGTGACATAGGGGCTCTCTCCCTTCTGCCTCTCCTCCTACAGCCATTCTCAAAAGGAACCCCAGACGAGTTTTCAAAAGGGAAAACCAGATGCAGCCAAGCCCAGGCCTAAACCCTTCCCATGGCTCCCCTTCACGTTTGAAACCGTCTCCTCTTCTGGCATGTGAAGCCCTGAATGACAGCTGCCCCCCAGCCTCATCTCCTACCTAATCCCCCTTACCCACTGACTCCAGACTCCTGGGCTTCCTTGCGGATCCCAGACGCACCAGCCTCCCCCACTCCTCTGTCCTCCTTCCCATCACTCAGTTCCCTGCTCAGGGATCAGCTTTCTGACCCTCTGTCTCAAGTGGTCCCTCCCTCCACCCAGGCCCCATCACCCCACCCCCCCTGCTTGATGTTCTTTATGGCCCTTCCCGATCTGACTTTCCCTGCTGGCTCTGGGAGGACAGGGCCCTGGTCTGTCCAGTTCACGGCTATCACACCAGCTTCTAGAACAGAGCGAGCACGTCAGTGATGCTCTGGAGTGACTGGATGCTCTGGTATGTTCTGAGAAGGTGTCAGAACTCGGCCACCAGTGGGTGGCTCAGCTGGTGGGAAGAAAGAACACACGGTTAATTTAGGTCCCACTGGCCAGTCCTCGATTTTCACCTTCAGTTCACCTCCTGGCAAGTCAAGCCTGGAGCTGCATGAACTCGAGGACACCCAGCGTCTTCTGCTGGGCGCTCACTGCCCCTCGCCCATACTCTTGGTGCCGCGGGCGGGATTCCCTCACTGCCTCGGCTGGCTCCAGCCTCCCCTGCTCATGCACCCGCTCCTGTCCCCTCGTGCCCTGCCCAGGAAACCCCCCTGCCTGCCCCCACCTCCCCCAGCTAGCAGTGATAAAACTGCTAGCTCTGTAAGCCTCCCACTGGCCCCCCCAGCTTCCCCTCTGACCTTCCTCCCCGGCTTCTCCATCCAGTGGCCAAGAGGAGCCTTTTCTAAATGCAAATATGATCACATCAGCCCACCCCATCCCCGCCCGGTGAAGCCCCTCAACGGTGCCCCATTGCCCCAAGGACCGAGACCCGAGGCCCAACAGGGGTCCACGCCCACCTGACCTGGTCACTCCTCCTTGGTCCCCGTGTCACCAGCCAGGCATGCCCCCTGGCCCCTGGGTTCCTTGAATACACCATCTTCCTTTCTGAGGGTGGGCTTGGGTGGGGCGATCAGGTGATGCTGGGTGCTGGGCCCCCTTCCTCCTGCCCCTAATCCCCTATTCTACTCCATTCCAGGGTCAGGGCTGGGCCTGCAGCCCTGGGAATGCAGAAAGAGGCCACACGGACTCTGAGTGAAAACTCTCCATCCGTGTAACCTCGGGCAGATCACTCCCGGTTTCTGAGTCTGTGCCCTCTTGTGTAACATGGGGACAAGGGTAACACCGGCTCCCTGGGCTCCCTGGGCCCACTGAAGTGGTCTAAGTAGGAAGGGCCTGGAACAGTCATTGACACCCCTGGGTGCTCAGCAAACGTGAGCTCTCTGCCTTCCCACAGCTTAGGGAAGCCCCTCGCCCAGGCTCAGACCACTGACTCTCCAGCCATGAAACAGCCCCCATGTTTAGCCTGCGAGATTTTCTGAATTGGGGAATAGGGCTAGGCCTAGATCTGCTGCCAACTGACTGTTAGATCTTGGGCAAGTGCCTTCCTGTCTGTGGGCCTGTTTCCTCATCTGGAAAAAGGGGTGAGGGCTGGCCAGGGTGGGGGTGTAAGGTTCTTCTGGTCCCCGCTGCCAGTGAGTCTCAAGTAAGGGGGACCCCCGGGGCATGGATCCCGGCTGCACGCGTGCAGCGATCCCTCAGGCTCTGGTGGCTGGGCCTCTGGGGAGGGACCAGCGGGTATGTGTGAGGACATTGAAAATGAGACCACTCAGCTGCTCAGCATCTCCCCGTGGGATGGCTTGAATGTTTTCTGCCTCTTCGGATCCTCCTAGTGGCCCCAAGAGAAAGGACTTTTTTTTTCACATTGAAGAAAATGAGGCTCAGAGAAGGTAGGTGACTCACCCAGGGTCACACAGCCAGGACGAGGCTTCGCAAGGAACTCTGTTCCCTCCTAGCTCTGGGTGGCTGTCCCTGGGGAAATCAACCCCCTGCAGTTCATTTGTCCACTTGCTCACTAACAGGTGTCACAGAAGGAGCAAGGCCCGAATCCCAACTCCTTTGCTTATGAGATGGTTGGCTTTGGAAAAGTTACTTGACATCTTGAGGCCTCGGTTTCCCCATCTGTCTGATGGGAATAACTTGAGGTTCTTTTGTCTTCGGCTACCTGGGACTTCAAGACCTAACATAGAAAAGTCCCTAGATTTCTGCCAAGCCCCAGATCTGGTGCTTGGTGCTGCTACGAGGTCCCAGGACCCTGCTCTTTCCCCATCGCCACGGCCCCTGAGACCCTGGGGATGGCTCCGCGAGGACACATGGCTTTGGCTCAAGGAATCTTGGGAGGCTTTTTGGCACCAGAATTTCAGGCTGGACATTAGAGAGGAGAGTGTCCCAACACCCTAAGTGTGTCCGGAAGGAATGTTTCTGACCGAAGCCAAGGACAACCCAGGTGCTTCTTTTCCCATCATGCCCTGCGGTGTCTCCCTGGACAGCGCCTTCTTCCTGACATCCCACGGCAGTGTGGGTGGTATCTAGAGTTGGTACACGGAGCACCGACTATGTAGCATATGCTGTGCTGGCCTCAGGGCGCCGTGAGGAGCAAGCCAGGCACGGTGCCTGCCGTTGGCGCAGATTGCTGGCCTGGGGCCTGGACTGGCTGGGGGCCAGGAAAGGCTTCCTGGGGGAGGTGACCTTGAGATGGGGCTAGAGGCGAGTGAGTAAGAGTCAGCTGGGCACCAGGGCGGGTGGGTGGGGAGGAGGAGCAAGGGAGGAAGAAGAGTGGGAAGTTAGAGGAAGAGTGTCTGTAGGAGCTTCCAGGCAATAGGGAGCGGGTCATCTGTGGAACTGAGAGGTGACTGGAACACTCCATGGATGAATAAGCATGATGTGGTAAAAATGTCAGGCTACTCACTTTTGGGTGTGTGTGTGTGTGTGTGTCTTTCTCAGAACAGGTGTCTTTGGAGTCACTCTGAAGCATTAGGGCTTCTTCAGCCTGTCCCTAAGCAGCATTCTGTGAGGGCTTCCTGGAGGAGGGGGCATTCCAAGGGCTTCAGTTCAGTTTGCTTTAATTCCGATGCACTCACTGGGTGCCAGGCCTGAGCCTGGAGATGAAGCAGGCATGGGCCCGGCCCACATGGAGCCTATGGCCCCTGGCAAGACAGAGACACACTAACTGCCTGTTTAAGTCGAGATAGAGCGGTTGCCTGAGGGAGGGAACAATGAGCTCCTTCCAGGTGGGGCACAGGGAAGGAGGTGGCCTGGAGGTTTCCCCACAGAAGAGGAACTGCCTGGGCACGATTTTGAAGCATGAATAGGAGACAAGGGTCAAAGGGGGCAGAAGCGTATTCTAGAAGGAGGCACAGACAGGAACAAAAACCCTGGAGAGTGGGTAGCCTGCATGGTCAGGGTAAGTGGGAGTGTTTGGACAAAGAGAGGTGGGGAAGGGCATTCTGGGCAGGAGCAAGTACAGGGAGGTGGGCAGCGCAGGCCTTGCCCAGGAGACAGCTTGGCTGGTGTATGAGGGGAGGAGAAGGAGGAGGAGCCTGAGGTCTCAGTGGGCCAGGTCAGGGGACGCAGAGCAGGGCCTTCATGGGTGGCCTCAGTGAGGAGAGACGAAATGATGATCCTGGGCCCTCACGGGCAGGAGGTGAGGGCATCTATGGAAGCATAGCTGGGGCACGGGGCAGGGAATGCTAGAATCACGCACAACTGGTTTCTCACTTGGTTTGTTCACTCACTGGCTGTGTGGCCTTGGGCAGGTCGCTATACCTCTCTGATCCCAGTCTTCCTTCCCACAGGCTGAGACACCAGCACCTTCCTCTCAGGGGTATGTGTAGTGAGAAATACTGTTGGGTTGAATTAAAAGAAAACCTGGAGGCTTGTTTGATTGCCCTGGAGGCCTCTCTGGTGCTGGTGGGAGATTTGGGCTATCACTGTCAGCACCCCCTGTCCCAGCACCCCTTTGGCATGTGTCTCACCTGTGTGTGCTGGTAGCATTTCTTGACATTGTCCGCAACAGCTGGCTTTTGGTGTGCACTCGGGGGTGGGCTGGAAGACCAGGGATTTAGCGCTGCAGGACATCCTTCTGCCAATGGAAGACAGAGACCCCAGGTCGTGCCCCTCAGGGGCGCCCCGTCTTCAGTGGCCCCAACAGTAACAGCTCACTGACTGACCCTTCCTTGTCTCTTCCCCACTCCCCTCCCGAGGCTGCCACTGTACCAGCTACTCGGCTCAGGGTTTGCTTCGGGGGGCACCCCACCTGCCGCGGGGGTGACCGACCTCAGTCCAGCATAGGAGGTGGGGAAAGTCGGATCAAGCCCTAGAGGGAACGGCGTGCAGCCTCACAAAATCACCTCTCAAAGGGCAGGCGAGGGCAGACAGGTGATTGGAGACAATATTTTCCTCTTGATGCTTACCTGCCTTTAAAATTTTTTAATGTAATGAATCAGTAAGGAAACAAAAGAAAAGCTGAGCGCTCAGCGCCGTGTGGCTGCCCGTGGCCGCCCCTCCCTGGGTCTCGGCCTCCGCACGCAGCAGTACTGATCCTACTGTCCCCCCACAGGTTCGACAACTATTCAGCCAATGTGATGGTGGACAGCAAGCCCGTGAACCTGGGGCTGTGGGACACAGCAGGGCAGGAGGACTACGACCGCCTCCGGCCGCTCTCCTACCCACAGACGGTGAGCTGCCCTGCCCTCCTGCCGCCAGCCGGAGCTCAGCCCGCTGCCCCTGGGGGCGACGCCCTGGGGCCAGTGGCTTCGGACCCTGCCCGTCTCAGCAATGCCCTCCCAGGCGGAGCCGGACCTCCTCCCCGCGCCCCTGCCCGCCCTCCTTCAGTCTCCCTGCTCTCACTGTGCCCATCTCACCAGCCCCTCTGCCTCAGGGGCTCTGGCACCCCCTGGCTCCCCGTGGGTGGGGCAGGCAGACCCTGGATGGGGCCCCAATAGGGAGCCCCGGACTCTGCGTCCCAGGGGTGCTGGGGAGGGGAGGAGAGATGGGGGGCAAGCCTGCACCTGTGGCTGCTAGACCCTGGCGTCCTTGGTTCTCCCTCCAGGCTGGCAAGGGAAGGGCTTCTGGCCAGATGACAGGTAGTGAGCGCCCGGTGGGGAGTACGGGTTCTGTGGCAAGCCCTTGACCTCACTTTCCCCATCTGTAGAATGGGGTGGTAGTGGCACTGACTGCGGAGGGTCGCGTGAGGATTCACCACTTAGGACAGGCCTTTCGGAAGGGCTGGATAAACAAACAGCTCAGGGGCTGCCCAGGTGTGGAAGGGCCCAGGCGGGCTGCCTCCAGGCCCCCTCTCATGGGTGACCGTTGACCGTTGCTCTGTCCCCAGGACGTCTTCCTCATCTGCTTCTCCCTTGTCAGCCCTGCCTCCTATGAGAATGTCCGGGCCAAGGTGAGCAGCACAGAGCGGGGCCTTGGGGGCTTGGGGGCTTGGGGGCTTGGGGCAGGTGACCCCGACAGAGGGAGGGGCCGCAGAGAGCGTGGGCAGAGAGCGTCCCCAGTGCCAACCGGCGCTGGGGGTGAGGCTCAGAGGGGGTTCAGAAGGGGCTGGGGTCATTGGCTGTCCTGCCCACCCTCTATAACCGTGCCCCCTCTCTCCTCCCCGCACGACCTCTGCCTGCCTTTTATCGCTCACGAAATCTTGCTTCTTTTCCTGCAACCACGCCCCCTCCTGTACCACCTCACGCATCTTCTCCTCACCCCCTCGCGCCGCCTCTTCTCATCTCACACTTGGTGCCCCTCTTCTCCGCACCCCCTCCGGCCCCCCGCCCGCCTGCCCAGTGGTTCCCCGAGGTGCGACACCACTGCCCCAGCACACCCATCATCCTGGTGGGCACCAAGCTGGATCTGCGGGACGACAAGGACACCATCGAGAGGCTGAAGGAGAAGAAGCTGGCTCCCATTACCTACCCGCAGGGCCTGGCCCTGGCCAAGGAGATCGGTATGGGGCTTCGGCTCAGAGAGGGGAGCTGGCTGCAGGAGGACCCCGACTCGGCCTCGCTGGGGATTCAGGGGGCTCCCGGGCCGCTGTGCCATGTGCTGGCTGGGTGACCTGGCCTGTGTCTCTGTGCCTGGGTTTCCTCACCAGCAGAACGTGGCAATAGTGATCGTTCCTGGTGGCTGGGGGAATCAAATGAATTCACGCCCAGGAGGCCCCTAGCTCGGCACCTGCATGCAGGCAGGACCCCGGGCTGGGTAGTGGTGGTGGGAGTATACACACTCCATAAGCAGATGCTGAGGTTAGCGCACTGGAGCTGACAGGGGCAGGGAGAGAGTGACGTGTGCTGCGGTTGCGAGCAGCCAAGTCAAGCTTAGGTTTTCCAGGAAGGCTTCCTGGAGGAGGTGCTTCTGCCTTAGTTTGAAGGGTGATTTCCCTGCTGCCTCTTCCTCACCACCTTTTCCCCAGCCCCCCTCCTCAGCCCAACGGCTCTTTGCCTCCTGATCACTGGGCCAGAGAACTAAAGTGACTTCTCAAGGTCACACAGCCAGGAGGTGGCAGAACTGGGATTTGAACGCAAGACAGCAAATTGCTGGCTTGGGGGCCTCCTCGCGGGGGCTCAAGGCTGCCAGCACCAGGGAGGCCGTGACTGGTGGGTCTGGCCTCTCCCATGGCGCCTGGGCCTGCTGTCCCAGGTCAAGTCCTGACCTGCCTGCAGCCGGGGGTTGGGACACTTGCCCAAGAGCCTGGCATCCCCAGCCGGGTTTGACCACTATGAGCAGTGGCCCAGCGGCCCGGGGCACTCTGCCTCGCCACAGGGTCCTGCAGGCCCAGGGTTTGGCCCCTGAGGAGGTAGGGCCTCCCCACCCCAGGCCTGCCTCAGCCCCACTGCTCTTCCTTCCACCGGAACTGGGAGGGCTCTGGGGACTCACATCTCTACAGGAAGAGAAACCACAGCTGCCACCTCCCCTTTCCTGTGACTAGTCCAGCGACATGGCCATCTTCCTTAGGGGGCCTTGGGCTGCCTCTTAAGCCTTGGGTCCCGAGCCCCACCCTGGGGTCTTTGGCTCCTCGGCCTGCTGGCTTTCCTCACAAATATGGGGGTGTACCCTTGCCTTCTCTTGTTCTCTGGCCAGCGCATCCCCCAACTCCTTCTGCCCAGGGCTGACGCTCTAGCCAACATGTGACCCGTCCCCTTCTAAAGCCTGTGCTTTGGGACAAGGAGAAGGGGGCTGGAAGCCTGGAGGCTGGTCCTGGCTCTAGCACGATGGTATGTGTGACCTTGGAAAAGTGGCTCTCCCGCTCTGGGCCTCAGTCTCTCCATCTGCACAAGCTGGCCCGAGTGATCCACAAAGGTCCTTTCTCCTCTGTAAGGAGGTGGCTCGGGGTCCTGCCTTGGTCCCTAGCCGATCCCTCCGGGAGCCGATCCCAAGTGAGGGTGGGGCAGGGGCAGTGACTCTGAACTTGACTTGGACCAGCCTAGGCCAAAGGGGAGGCCCAGGAGACCTGCGGGTCTGATGAGGCGGACGACAGCTGTCTCTGGCCGAGCCTGTGGTGGTGAGTTGTGGAGTCGAGGCCCCAGCCAATAATCACTATAATCACGGCTGGCTGACCAAGACCGAGCACTTCCTGGGCGCTGGGTCACTGGTTCAAGGCCACCCAGCCAGGCTGGGGCAGAGCCCAGATTCAAAGCCGGGCTGCCTGGCTCCATCAGTCCTGGCGATCAGGGGCACCTGCTGCCTCCTAGCCCGCCCGCACGCCCTCTGCAGCTCCTCTGCCCCACCTGCCTCAGCTTGACAAGCTGTCCCAGGTCACCATGTCCTAGACTGATGGGAGGCTCAGGCACAAAGAGGGGGACTGACCAGAGTCCTAGGGTGGTCAGGAACAGAGCTGAAGGGAGTGCAGGATCCCCGCTCAGGACACTTGCTCTGGATGCTGCTGGGCCAAGAAGAGCAAGAGGGCGGCAGGTTCCAGGGAGGAGGCAGTTGGTGGGTGTGGAAGAAGTGGACACTGGCTATGGTCCCTTGCAGGGAGACAGTGGCCAGATGCCCAGCGACACCCTTCTAGGCACAGAGGGTTATAAGGTGATGAGGCTCCCGGACTGAACCAAAGGGAACTCTGTCCCTCCCAGCCAGGCCCTGGGACCACTGCCCATGCTCCCTGGTGGGAGTATGCTCCCAAGTAGAGGGGAGACATCCAGCATGTGACTTTGTGCAAGTGACATGCTCTCTGAGCCTCAGAGACAGTTTCCTTGTCCCTGCCCCACCTTTTCTTTCTTCCCAACCCCAGGTCATCTGTGGGCTTCCTCCTTCCAGGGGCTGCCCCCTCGGAGGTCCTGGCTTCCCTCTCCCCAGCTGTGTGTCTCTGGGACCCAGGCTTCCCCCCTCTCTTGCCCTGTTTCCTCATCTCTAAGTGGGGAATCACAGTATTTCTTCACATGGTTTTTTGGAAGCACCCAGCTCAGGGCTTGGCAGGGAGCAGGTGCCCATCAGAGTCGGTCTGCTTCCTTCCCCCCAGAAGAGCCAACTCCAGCATGGGGACAAAGTTCTCCTTCCTGCCCCTCTCTTTCCTCTTGTTCCTGAAATCGGCCCCCAGCCCTCTCAAAGAGGGGGTTTTGTGGTTCCTTACTTCAGGGAAACTGTGCTGTAGTGGTCGTGGGAACTCACACAGGTTCCTTCCAGAAGGTCAGGGAATGCTGCCCCTTGTCTGGGCCCCAGGCTCCTGCCCTGAGCCATAAGGTGGGAGAAGGCCAATCCCCTCAGTGAGGAGGGAAAGCTCTCTCATCCCGTTCCCTCACTGATAGCCCCCAGCCACCCCGAGGTGGGGAGGAGAAACATCCAGCATGTGGCTTTGGACAGATGACTCCCCACCTATGAACCTCGGTGTCCCCGTCTGTAAAATGAGGTGATGCTAAGGAATGGTCAGATGACATTTGGAAGGTCCTGGTGCCTGAGCCATGAGCACTTCAGGCCTCCTGGTGGAAGCATGGAGGCAGGTATGCGGCTGTTTTCTAGAAGAAACTGAGGTGTGGAGAGATTCAGTCACGGTAGCTCGAGCTCCCTGTCCGCCCCCCCAGGAATGTATCCAAATGCCTTCCTGCCTTCCACAAATTAAGGGCTGCCGTGTCTAAGAAAGATACAGACCTGCCCCTGTGGGTCTTAGCCTCTCCTTTTGAGATCAAGCTCCTTGTTCCAGGCATGAGGAAGCGGAGGCGAAGGGCAGTGGTTACCCGACCCCACGGCCTGGCAGTGTGTGGCTCGGGAGAGGTTTCTGCCCAGGGCCGTCCCCTGACCTCGGCTTCTGCCCTCTTGCCATCCCCCCCCCACCCCCCACCCCGCCAGACTCGGTAAAATACCTGGAGTGCTCGGCCCTCACCCAGCGAGGCCTGAAGACCGTCTTTGATGAGGCGATCCGGGCCGTCCTGTGCCCCCAGCCCACGCGGCCACAGAAGCGTCCCTGCAGCATCCTGTAGGGTAAGAGCGCCTCCTTCACTGCTCCGTGACCCACCCGACCCACACACAGCAGGCTGGGCAGGCTCCGGCCGGGAGGGGCTGTCCAGCCGCAGCTCCAAGGCCTTCTGCTTCGCCGGGAATGGCATTTAGGCCAAGACAGAACGGGGAGTATCAGAGTGGCCTCAGTTTCCTTATTTGCCTGAGCCAGTCCGACTCGGTGGGGCCCGGGTCCCAGAAGGAAGGTGCAGGGTGTCAGAAAGTGCCAGAGCCACGGCAGGGCTTCCACTCTGCCAGTCCTGCAGGAGGGACAAGGGATGGAAAGATGCCTTTGGCCCCTGCCCTCAGGAGAGCCCAGCGGAGCCAGGGAGACCCAACACCCACCGATAAGGGTGGAGGGGGGGCAGGTGGAGCTGAGACTCCTGGGGCGGAGGAGGGACCTGAGTGTGTCAGAGGCAGCCTGGAGAGCTGGGACAAGAAGGATGGAGGGGCTTCGGTGTGGTGGGCCCGCAGGGTGGGCTGGTGGGAGGGTCAACCTGGAGAAAAAGATGGGAGGTGGCAATGAGCTTTGAGTGGGGAAAGCCGTGAGGGGGCAGGTGATTCTGCTTGTCCCCAGGGTCTTACCCTCCGCATGTCTCCCTTCCAGGTTGCGCCCAGCCCTCCCAGCCAGATGGCTGTGACCTCCAGGGCCCTCACCCAAAGCCCGGTGGCACCCGGGCTGGCCCTGCTGTCCCCTCCCTGTGGTGTTTCTTAGCAGATGGCTGCAGAGCTTGGTTGCTCATCTTCTCCGGGCTGGAGGCCCCCTGGGGCTGGAAGGCTGTGAATTTGCAGGCTCCGCTCCCGATCCCTTCATGCTCCCACCTTCACAGGGGCCAGAGGGGAGCCACCCTTGCATTAGTGTGGCCAATGTCAGCTGCCGCACGTGACAGCATCTATCCCTTTACCCCAGTCCCACCTGATGCCTGAATCCCCTCTGGAAATTTCGGGCCAGAGGGTTGCCAGCCACCACTCGCATACCTTCAGGGACGGGTCGCTCACTCCCTCCTGAGGCAGGCTACTCCAATATTGATGGTCTTGCTTGTCTGAAAGTTCTCCTTCTGAGCTAAAATGAGTGTCTCAGACGTTTGCTCCTGCGGCCTTAGTTCTCCTTTTTGGAACAACATAAAACAGATCAAATTCTCTGCATGTCGGTGGGTACCCGCAACAGCCAGTCAAAACCCTCGGCCCAGCTGTCTCCTGCTGTCTCTCAAGTCTTTCTACGCCACTCACAGGATCCTGAGCTACATGTGCCTGTGGGAGTCTTGAAACTTTCAGACCCTGCCAGGCAGGACTTTTGCTATTGCAAATGGAAAACCTAATTCAACCTGCTTAAGCAGAAAATAAATCTATTGATCCAAATTTGGAAATATCATGACTTCAGCTGCAGTTTGATCAAGGGGCCTCAAAGCATGTCATCAGGACTTGCTTTCCTGTACCTCTTTCTTTGCTCTACCTTCCGCTGTCTGGTTCATTCTCTGGCAGTTGACTCTCAGAGCATCCTTCCAGGTTCAAGGTTTGGAAAAAAAAAGAAAAGAAAAAAAGGGGGGGAGGGCAAGCTTCTGCCCCAGGCGAAGTTCTAATTAAGGTTTACTCTGATTGGACCAGCCCAGGTCTTGGACCCCACTTCAACCAATCATATTTGTTGGGGGGGGGTGCTGAGCTCTGATTGGTCAAGCCTGGACCACTTGTTATGCTGGAGCAAGGAGGGGAGGCAATGGTGTAAAAATCTTCCATTCTAGGATGGAGGGGTTGGTGCCCAAATGAAGACTGAGATCTTGCTGGAATTTGGGTGTGTGGGTGGGTGTCAGGCAGCCAGAACTTTCCAGCCTCCACTATTGGAGCTCACGGGAAGTGTCCTAACAGTGTAAGAAAGCAATGCCCGTCCGGCAGGCACTAAGCTAAGGCGAGTTTCTTTACGAGAGAAGGTGGGGCTGTTGTAAGGAGTTAAGTTCACCCGTCAAGTCCAACAGCGCCTGGTGTGGAGCTGGTCCCACTGTAGTGTTTGTTACTTTACAAGTGCCGGCCTTTCCCTCCTGTGGATGATTGCTCTTCTCTATCCCAACTTCATCCATGCATTCAATGCATATTTATCGAGCACCTTCTCACTCTGTTCTAGGTGTGGGGTCCAGCGCTACGCACGAGTTCCTGCCCTCGTGGGCTGACCCTCTAGAGAGGCTACAAGGAAGGAATAAAAAGAAAGATCTAAGACCCCACCCCTGATAGCACAGAAGTCCCCCGATTCCCAGCCAGCGAGATGCTTTGGGTTTCTATCTTCTGCTCCCCCAGAGCTGCCCCCTAAGTCCTGAGGTTCGGGGACAGGGGCCTCCCGGTATCCCCACCCTCTTGAAAGGGGCTGGGCTCAGGGGGGAAACCCCGTGGCGCTTCTCAGTTTCAGCTCAGACAAGGCCTTTATGTTTTTAAGGTTACTTCTCCTTGGAAACCAACCACTCCCGTGAAAAACCCAGATAAGCATGACGCAAACACAGACCCCACACCGAATACATTTGTTGTTTAGAAGCCCTGGGGTGCCCCCTCCAGTTGGCCAGAGTCTGAAGAGAGCGTCTTTTGCTCCCTGCTCTTCTGGAGCCTCCAGATAAATCTGGGACCCCTTCTAGTGTGCCTCGGGGGCCCGGTCACGCTCGCCTCCCTCTCTCCTCCCCTCCACCCTGAGACTAAACTTTCGTTTCCTCAAAGCCACTTTGACACCTCTTTCATCCAAGCCCTTCCACACCCTGGTCTGGTCCTCTTTCCTCGAATGATTTCCTCTGCTCCTCGAACTTCCTGCACATCGAGGGTGGGAGGGGGGGAAGGGGCCTAGGCCGTGCGCCTCTTGCTCTGAGCCCACCCCAGTGGGCACAGTCCTCGCTCTATGCCAATAATAACGTCAGCAAATAAATTCTTTTGCCACTGTGTGTTCTCACCTAGCACAAATGATCTCCTTTAATCCTTAGGGGCCTTCCCATGTAGGTTCTAGCAGCTGGGTTTTGCGGATGCACAGGAGGGCCCGGGAATGGGAGCTAGAGCTCAACTCACCGTGACAGACCCTCTACTTTCCCACCTTCTCCCACTACCCCCATCCTTCTTGCTAACAGATAGCTAGTTTCGAGCAGAGCAGCAAGGTGTCCAGCCCCAGACGAAAACACTTGTTTTCCCCACCTGCTTTGCAGTGGAGATCCCAAGGTGCACAGCGCTGGCCAAAAAGACAAGTGTAAGTCAGCTAGAGAGGTGACTTCTGTGACAGTGTTTGTTTTCTTCCACAAAAAAAAAAAAAAGGACACTGCCCTTTGTCCCCAGCCCCTTCCCTGATGAATACTGACGCGATGTCTGGAGCCGCAGCAGCCATCTTACACACTTGAAACCACAAGCATGAAGATACAAACTAACATGCTCAGAATGGATGAGCGGAAAGATCAAAAGAGCCTGGATCCTTGACAACTTTGGTTGGCAGCTGAGCCAATGCCAATGGCTGTCTTGTTATGGGAACAAAAGGAAAATGAAACCACCCAATGTGTATGCCACTGTTGGTCAGGTCTCTGTTACCGTTAGCTGACAGCATTTGTAACTAAGGTCTTAGGTTGCTTAGCCCCGTGCTCTTTCCACCATATCATTGTGTCCAGCGGTCACTGGACATGGGGTGAGTCACTCATTTCTGTTCTGCAAAGTGGCTGAGCACCAGAGGCCCTTTAGATAGGAAAGAGAAACCTCAAGGGGAGTAGGTGAGGAGCTGGTTTTGAAACAGGAAGAACTGTTGGTTGTGGCAGAAGCTGACAACTTGGTGATGCTTCACTCCGACACCAACCACCCCCGAACACCCACCTAGTGGTGCCAGGCCTGGGCTAGGCAGCAGGGCATCAGGCTGGGCACCTTGCAATGACAGCACTGCCTGGTGGGCCAGGAAAACACCTGCCAGATGAACTGCTTCATTTGGGGCTTTTGGTCTCAGAGCCTGGCTGCTCCTTGCTGCTTCCTCCAAAGCAGAGGCCTGGGGGGCCCCCTGGCACCTCCCATTCCCCCCGCCCTGCATCCACTGGTCACCAAACCTGGAAAATCTGGCCTCTCATTGTGTGTTAAACCCACCCCTTTATCTGGACCCACTGCCACTCCCTGCTCCAGGCCTTGCATCTCTTCCCTGGACGGTAGCCGTGACCACCTTGCTGGCCTCCCTGCATCTGCTGTCTCCACGGGGCAGCTCGGGGCTCCTCCTCATTTACAAACAACTGTGCCACCCAGATGTCACGATGTACACCTCTTGCCTTAACACATGCTTGTACGGCCATGGATTCACTCAGTCACCCACTCATTTAGCAAATCGTTATTGGGACTGTGCATCAAACACGGGGTTTGAGGGTGAGTCAAGCGTGGGCCTGCTCCTAGGAGCTCGCAGCCCTGGGGGGGAGCCAGCGGAGAGCCCTGAGAAATGGCCCCTCTGCTTGGATTGCTCACCATGACTAGCAAGTATCTGGCACCTTGCAGATGCTGGACAAATGTGTGTTGTTTATGTAAAGGAATAAGCAGATGGAAGAATAGACTTCAATGGAGAGAGAGACCCAGACTTTCCAGTGACCCAGGTGAGCCCAGCCTTCCAGTCATCCTTGCTAAGGCACCTGTCATGTGCATCGGAAATCTTGGATGTGCCAGCCCAGTCAAGTCCCCGGATGACAGTGGTCCCAGCCAAAATCATGTGTGGCAGAAGAGCATCCAACTGAGTTCAGCCAACTCGTAAAATAATGAGAAATAATACCAGGGTATACTGAAACAGTGACTTTTGTGGGGCTGAGGTCCCTTTTATCTCTTGGTGGGGGAGTTAAGAGGGTAGGGAGGAGAGGGAAAAGATCAAAGGCGCAGAGAAGTAGTCACCTCTGGGGACATCTGACTCCATCCAGGTCTCATGGGATGTAAGAGGCAGGCAGGGTAGGCTCTGGGGAGGGACACAGGAATCTAGGATGGTTCTTAAAGACTTCTGAAGGCCCTAAGGTAGGTGAAATTATGAGCAGTCATCCATGTAATTCGAAGTTCAGTTCAGTTCAGTTCCCATGTACTAACCCCAGGCTCCATGCCAAGCTGTGTGGGAGCTGGAGGTGCAGAGATGATGAGATCCAGCCCTCTGCTCCCCGGGGGCTCAGGGGCTAATAAGACAGACAAATGAGCAAATCAACACCTGCCATGCAGTTGATCCACATACCACAGAAGTGTATGCCATAGAGTAAGGAAGAGATTCTGGTCTCAAGGTGCCAGGGTAGAGATGTTTCTGCCCCCTTCCCTTGCTGAAAAGCAGCCACGACAATAAGGAGAACATGAAACAAAAACACAAACTCTCATCTTCAAAGAAACCAGGAGACACCTGTGACCCCAAACCACAGCATACGAGTCTGGAGAGCAGATGGAGGGGTGGTAAATGATTTAACAGAGCCCACGGAAGGCAAACTTCAGTGCCTGCTGTTTTGTGGTGGGGCAGGGTGAGGGGTTTGGAGGTGGGAGAGATGCAAACCGACTGACCTTGCAGAACCCCCAGGAGTCTCCGAAGTAGGGGATCCAGACACCACAGATGGCAAGGCAGGAGGCTTAAACCCAGTGCGTTATTTGTAAATTTGTTTAAGGAGCGATTAGACCCGCAGGGCCTCCCCCATGCACTATGCAGCCAGGCAACCATCCCTCCCCAGCCTGGGCAGGAAAATCCAACCAGAGATTTCTGGACCCAAGGACACCAGCTACAGGGCAGGTGGGGGTGAGGCCCCAGCCTGATTATTTGGGATGTAGTGGGTTTGATCATGCTTGGCAGATTATCACTCCTTCCACACCCACCTCCAGGGGCAGACCTACTTCCCCATTCCACTGATGCTAGCTTTGGCTTTGTGACTTGCTGTTTGCCAGTGGGATGTTAACATATGCGTCATAAGGTGAGCCTGATGTGCTTTCACCCTTGGGCATGCTCTCTTGTGCTGATGAAAGAACATGCCCTGGTAAGCCCACCAGTTCCAAGAACATAAGGGCAGAGGTGTCCAGCTGACCTGCAGCTCAAAGCAGATCTGCCTAGCTTAGCCCAGCCTAGATCAACCCATTCCAGCTGAACTGAAGGTGTGAAGTACAAGAAATGCTTATTGTTTGTGTGGTTGTTTGTTACACAGCAACAGCTGACTGATGCAGGGGGATTCAGTGGAAGTCTGTATACTCATCAGGGTGACCCTAGCCCCCTTCCCTGGCTGAGTTCAGGAATGCTAGCACCCAGGCAGACACTTATTCCAGACAGGAATCTGTGGCCAGGATCTGACCACCCCAGAGAAAAGTCTTACCGATGCTGACATTTGGTAACATCTAGGCATCTTTGACAAAAGAGCCAGCTGTCCCTCCAGAGATGTTCGCTATCTTGCAAAC